AGTTGATTTCCAGGAGGGGGGGGCAGGGAGAGGGAGAGAGAGGGAAACATCAATGATGAGAGAGAATCATTGATTGGCTGCCTCCTTCATGCTCCCAACTGGGGATCGAGCCCATAACCCAGGGCATGTGCCCTTGACTGGAATTGAACCCGGGACCCTTCAATCTGCAGGCCGATGCTCTACCCACTGAGCCAAACCAGCTAGGGCTTAATTGAGTATTTTTTATTAAGTTAATTGGGGTGACATTGGTTAATGAAATTAGCAATTTGCAGTGTAACAATTTGCATTTAGGGAAAAAAAGCAGCTCCCACCTCGGAGGAAGCAGTCCGTGGAACAATGGGCAAAGGTCAGGGAGCCAGGAGGGTCTCTGGCCCCAGGAGTCTCCCCCAGCGCTGACCCAGGGACACACTGCCCGCCAACAAGGCCGGCCTTGGGCAAAGCCACAGGAACAAGCGGGAACTTCTGCAGGTCTTTCCTAGACAATCAAGTGAATCCGGAGAACGGGCAGGACCCGTGCTGACGCCACGTTCACCCAATTCCTACAATTAGACTTAAAGTCCCAACCAAACCCTGTTCTGCTCTCCCAGCAGAACCTACAGAAATCAGTTCCTTATGACTTTTATAATTATTTAAATAATTTTTTTCAGTATCTCTAGACTTAAGACTAAATAGTTTAAGAACAGTTGGTGAAGCCTTGAGTCCAGTAAGAGGCGGCTCCTTCCCGGTTTAACGCAGCTGATGGTCAGCAAATTGCCTGCTTAAGCCCAGGTGTGGAGAACGGCTGGCGCTGCCCGCGGGCTGGGGCCTCCGAGCTGAGAGAGGGAGGCGCCCACCTGCCGAGGAGCCTGGGGGGTGGGGGTGGGGAGCCGGAGAGGTGCCGCAGGCCAGCAGCCCTGGATGTGTGTTGCTGGGTGCCTGCCCCTCAGCCCCACGCTGATGCCTGAAGATGGAGCCGGTTCATCAAGGCTGCACACCTTGGGGAGCGCTGGCAGGTAAGTGCACGCCTGGCCCCACGGAGCCACTTCTTAGTTCATTATGTGCCTCGCCGTCTCGTGGGCCGGAGCTGTTGGTTTTGAAACCTACATGTTCTGGGGGCTGGTCTTTCAGGTGCAGGTGTTAAGAGTTGGGGAACTCAATGTGGGGTTCAGACCCCTGGCTCCTCAGGAGAAACAGTGTTTTCAGTTCCCCCGGACGGACTGTGTGGCTGAGCCGGGCGGTGGGGGCGGCGGACCTCGCTCATTCTCCGATGTGTAGGCATCGCTCAGCTATTAGGTTTTAGGTTTTCTCATGGGACGTTGTTCCTGGCGTAGCTGCTGACTCCGTGTGTGCTGGGGAGGAGGCGAGTCCAGGGTTCTCTCCTGGTGCCGTCTTGGACCGGGACAGTGGTGGAGGCTGGAAGTCAGGTCAGGTGCCAGCGGTCGGCCCCACAGGGTGAGCAAGCACCACCCGCTCTTAGGGGACCGCATGGATGGACCCGGAGAGAATTGTGCCGAGTCGGGGCTATATTTTATACAGGAAACGTAAAGTGAGTTAAGCCTGTTAAATAGCCTTTGCCTGTGTACTCAGTGGTTGGAGCAGCGGGCTGCGCATCGAAAGGTTGCAGGTTCAGTTCCTGGCTCCGTCAGGGCGCATGCAGGAGGCAACCGACTGATGTGTCTCTCTTACGCCGATGGTTCTCTTACTCGATCTCTCCCTTCCACGCTCTCTAAAAATCAATGGAAAAAATATCCTCGGGTGAGGATTAACCAAATAATATAAAAAAGGGGGTTATGGGAGATAAAAGATGAGTTGGGTCTGGAGGAAAAGGTGGGCTCAAGAAACATGGGGGACCCAGGGGGCAGTCTGCAACAGGCGGGTGGGCACCTCAGGAGGGAAGAGGAAGGTGTATACTGATGGGCACCGGCGTCCTGGCTAATGAACCCGCTAATTGGGCGGGGGAAGAGGGTCAAACCAGGGGTAACAAACACCGGATTATGAACCACCGTGAGCTGGGGCTAAAGTTTTTATCCATCAGTAGGAAAAAAATCAGTTTACCAAAGTGAGGTATTCAGAAAGGACAATCAAAATTATAGTATTTTATTATGAAAAGTTTTGATGTTAAATGTTCTTTTAAAATTAAATGCTGATGATATAGACGATTGTTATTAATTTTTTAAAAAGTTATCTTTATTGTTGAAAGTATTACAGATGTCCCGCCTTTTTCCCCATTGATCCCCTCCACCCTCACCCACCCCTCCCAGGCCTTCACCACACTATCGCCTGTGTCCATGGGCAATGCATGTAAGTTCCCCAGTTAATGGCCCTCCACCCTCCGCTGCTGCCTTCCCCCTGAGATTCGTCAGTCTGTTCCATGCTTCTATGTCTCTGGATCTATTTTGTTCCTCAGATTCCACATATAAGACCATGGGATATTTATCTTTTTCTGACTGGCTTATTTTGCTTAGCATGATACTCTCCAGGTCCCTCCGTGCTGTCTCAAAGG